CAAACCCAAAACAAATCAAAAAACCCCACCAAACCAATGACCCCCAAAAAACCCCAACTACACACACAAAAACCAAAACGAAACCCAAACGAACGAACCAGACCAAACAACTCCAAGTGAACTCTTTCTAGGCCCTGTTTTGTGACCTTATATTAACCATTTCTAACTTACTCTCTTCTGCTAAGAAGCTCTGCTATTTTAGGGAGATAGAAGAAGCACATTGAGTCTGCCTCTTAACCTGGCATTACTGAACTGATATCCATGGCTCAGTTCTTTGGGATACAGATCTCTTCTATCTGAATGCTGACTGCTAAAATTAATAGGCAATATGCTGGTGAAATATGCAATTCAGTTCAATTATTTCTCACTTCTGGGGCATCTGAGGTAAATAATTCCCAGTATAACCTTAGATTACATAAATAATATTATATAACTTCAATTATTGGGAGGAAAAGGAAGGAAATCTTGTAGCTATCTCAGCCTGTTCTAGTGCAGGGAGTGTACTTTCATGTCGCTTAACCATGAAGCCCGTGTCCAGCTCTGTTTATGAAGAGGAGTCTGTCAAGTCTAATGTGTGGTTCCAGGCCCTGTGGTTCACCTGCAGACATACTGCTTTCATCTAAGGCAACAGAGATGCTTTTGTATAACACAAGACTTCTCATCTTTGCTGCATCAAGCTGTTTAAACTCATCTTTTGAGTTGCTCTGTCATATAAAATGATGTTAAAAAGGTCACTAATTATTGTTGTATTTATACCAATTTTCATAGTTGTGATGAGATAAAAAACATTGTTAGCTTGCTTGACTTTTATCATATTTCCAATTCATAAATTGAGAAATACAATTCTTAAATATTTACCTTCCAGAGGTTAAGAACTGAAAATAGACTCTTGAAACAGCGCATAGAAACATTAGAAAAAGTAAGTATGTTGGTGATTAGATTTAATCTGTGTTAATTTATACTTAAATTGACGGCAATTTTATTGTACTAAATGGGAATTTCAGAAGCATAGTTTACTGTTTTTCCTGCTAATCTATGGTGTTTGCTAAGAGTGCTTAGCCAAATAGCATGGCAATAACAAAACAATTAGGGTCAGTGCTTGTAAATATTTAAGGTTGTTATGTCTGGCTCTTAGAGAATATGAAATCAAACATTTTGACATACCCAGCTTTTGTTGTACCATGTTTTTTCTGAATTAGAAGCATCTGTTCAAAGTCCAGAAGACTACAGGAAACAGTAGACTGCTTGGGTGGAAAAGAGGTTATTGTGAGAGAATCCTCAGCTTTGAAAATCTGAAGTTGCTGGGTGTGTTTACGTAGGAGCAAAATGACAGACCTACCACAGACCAGAGAGAGATTGAGATGAAGGCAGATTATTTCATCGCTAGCAAATACAGCAGTAGAGGGGTGGTGTTGCAGCACTCGCATTTAGTACATTCAGTCTTCTGCCATGAATTTGTTTTACACAGTTTTGAGTTTTTATAGTAATTTTGCTGCACGGCGGGGAAGAGTATCTTAAGACACTTCTTGCAGATCTAGTCTGGAATAGAGTTTTGTTAGAGTTCATTGTAACTGGATATAACTTTAAAAGTATGCTTGACAACTGGTGTTGATACATAGCCAACATACAGGCATTGTTCTCCAATGGCCCCTCCTATATTCTGGTATCATACTTCCTGTGACAGATTGCATCTGAGCTGGTCAGCTCTAGAATGAGAATGTTCTTGTCCGTATTAACCACAAATAGCAACTGTCTTTCAACAAACGAAATGGAATGTTCTTGTGAGTTGCAAACAGTTATTCATGTTTCACAGGATAGAAAATGGTAAAGATTCAATTTAGAGTGACATAATTAAAAGATGTCATACTTCAGATGTTAAATCCTTTGCAGTTTCTTGGAAAAAGTGTCAATCTATGTCAAATTCTAATGAATTTATTTCTAAGTTTAGTTTGGAAAAATGCACATAATGAGGACATATTATGAAAGTTGTGACCAAAAGTAAATTTTATAAACATCTTTGTTTCTAATATTGAAGTGCTGATAAAATTAACTGAAAAGAGCAGGCTCTTTTTTAAGACTTTTGAAGCTATAATTATAATTCAGTGTTCTTTTGGTAAATTTATGATAGTAGATACCCCTGTGTTATATTTAAATTAGAGGTTTGAAATTAGTTTTTTTTTTTTTAATTAGGAAGTCCATGACGAACTGCCAGATGCTAGTGCTTTTGCATATTCTGTATTTTATATTTAACTTAGAGGTTTGAAATTAGTTTTTTTTTTTAATTAGGAAGTCCATGACGAACTGCCAGATGCTAGTGCTTTTGCATATTCTGTATTTAAAATTTCAGAATTCACTTCCATAGTATCCTGTTCTGACTTGAATTAGAACATTACAAAATGGGAAAAATATTATCTATTAACTACAGTTTCTGAGGAGTATTATTATCGCAGCATCTGAAAAACAGATCCTAAAGTGTGAACAACCACATTCAGTTCTTCTGTTAGAAATTTGTTTTTATTTTAAAATATTTTTTCCACATCCTAATCTATATTATTTAGTTGTGATTTCCTTAGTGTACCTTAATGACAAACACCTTAAATTCTAAGTAATAGCTCTTGTCACCCAGTTTGAACTTTAATTTTAATAAAAGTTACAAGGACAAAGATAGTATGTAAATCAATGTGTTCTCTGTTGTAAACATGCAACTTGGGGAGGGGAATGCAGTGCTTGTCAGTGTGCCGAAATGAAAATTTCTTTCTTGGAAAACTTTGGCAAGGAAAGACAATCTATGAACTGCTCAATTGAGTTACTGCAAGAGTTCAGTAAAACAAAATATTAGCTGTCTAGTAGAAATTTTCTACTTGTGCCTGTTGGTTTGCACCATTTAACTTTCCTGCTTCATCTTTTTGGAAGCCTTAGTTCTGTATGAATGCCTCGGTGCTTAGTGGAGGTTCCTTTGTGCTCAAATTATGCCTTCCTTTCATGTTGTGGACGGACCATAGACCACATTTCACATCCATACACTAGATCATATCAGACAACGTATCAGTAACTTCTGTTAATTAGGGAAGCAAGCCATTCAGATGAAAATACCCAGTTTCCTGTAAGTGGATTTTAAGTGTTAATGGAAATCTGGCTTTGAGATTTTCTTGTATCAAAGATGGACTGTGTTAAATCTGTTGCAGGAAAGGCTGCTTCCTGGGACTTTCAGGCTGAGTTGTCTTAACTTATATGAAGAGTTGTTAATTTTGCAAAAAAAAAAAGCTTGTACAGAAAATGGGTAGAATTTGGGCATTTTCCTTCTCTCAGCTCTTGTCTCTCATCACTATTATTATCCCTTTGTTTTTTGGTTTTTCTTTTCCTTACTTCTATCTGAATTTTTCCTTTGTAGGAAAGTGCTTCCTTGGCAGATAGATTGATACAGGTATAGTCTTTTAGTCTTTTACTGTATGACTCTCTTCCTACTCTCAAAAACCCCAGACTGCTTTAATGCATGCATATTTGCATGCTGTACTCTACCCCTGCCTTGCTGATTTGGAATAAATATAGAGCTAATCTCTTGCTAGAAACTTGTTTAATTTTGTTTACTAAAAAAATATAAACCCAATACCTGCACGTTATAATATTTTTCCTAACCTAATTTTTTGGTAGAAATTCCTGTGACAAATGGATTCTATGACGCTATATTAACACTGAAATTGAATATTGCTAACTTAAACTCTGCATGTACAGCTGAGTAATATTGCATGAAAGGACTCTTAGTGAATGCAAGTACACAATTGTGCTTGCTAAACGGATGCTGAACTCTGTTATAAAGTACTAAAGCAGCTGTTTAGTGCTATCTTGTCCTAAAATTTCTACCAATTGTACTGTATGCTGTTTGCAAAACCAATCTGATGAAATAAGCAGCTAAGCATCACAAAGGCAGCCTTTCTTGGATTTGTCCTCAATTGCTAAAAAAAAGAAAAAAATATTATGTCCTAAGGGACAAGTGACAAGGGCCCAGGAGGCTGAGGAAAACTACCTCGTAAAACGGGAGCTGGCCACCATCAAACAGCAGAGTGATGAGGCCATTACTAAACTGGAGCAAGCTGAGCATACCATCAGGGAGCTCCAACAGCAGCAGCAATGGGTAAGGAGCCTGACAGCACATCATCTCATCTTTTTCATTCACTTGTGTTTTATTTTTCCTCATCATGACATGGTCTCTGTGCAGTCCTTGTAAATGCCTGTTCGTTGTGATTTGCGTTCTTAAAATTACAGAAACTGGACTGATATTTTGGTCTGCTCTTACTGATAGATGAGATTCATAACCCTGGATAAAAAAACCCAACTAAACAAGCCACAACAAAACACACCAAGCCAAAAAACCCAACAACTAAAAACCCGAACCCAAAATCACACCACCACCAAAGAAATACTAACACAAAACCACACACAAAACCTTTTGGTAGCTCCCAGTGCTGAGAATCTAGCCAAGGCAAATTGTGTCACTCAGAATACTCAGATTTGAGAAGTTGATTCATAATGCCTTTACCTAGCTTCTCGTTTAAATCAAGTCTCTTCCATGTTGAAATTTCTTCTGTGTTTTTTTGGGGGTTTCTGGGGGGGGGTTCTGTTGTTGTTGTTGTTTTGCTTAGCATGCTTAAATTTGCTGTTTGCAAAAAGAGAAGGGTATTGTCCCTGGGTTTGGAACTACGGGACTTTATAAAAATGTGTGCATTTATGTGCAGATAGAGCAGGAAAATAACTTGTAGCATCTATGTGTAATACTGTGTTTTAGGTAGCATAACGTGCAAGACTTCAGACTATTACTGTGAGACTTTGTCTAAGCCACTTACCAAGGGCTCAGTATCTTCTCTTGAGAGAGGGAGGGAAGCAGTTTCAGCAGTCTTCACTTGCTGAGTAAACTGCACTAGCAGTGTTGATGTGAATATGCTCATATTGGTTTAAGTAAGTGGTATCCAAGTATTTTTCTGAAGCCCTGGGCATTTCAGGTGTATGAAATAAAACTTTTCAGAACTACAGCATACTGCAGCTGCTTACCAGATCCGTTAAAGGCAATATAGCAGTTTTACGCATCTTCCACCAAAGCTCTGGAAATATTTGTATCTCACCTTTGAAAGTGGAGATGAGATTTACTGTTAAACTGAAAAGAAATCATAACTTAAACACGACATTATGGAAGTAGTTTATTATGTCTGTTTAATGGATTTTGGTGAAAAAAAGGTACATCTTTTGGAACAGTTGTAAGGCGTTATTAATGAGCTGTTGCTCTGTAGTGTGAAATGCTGCTTTCTGTTTAAGTTTGGCAATTCCTTTAGGGAAAAAACATGAAGAAATTATGATTAGGAAGATGGGGATGTTGTAGAAATACCTTGCAAAATTTTAGATACATTGTAATCTTTCAAGTGAAATAAAATGAGAAATTTTTATAGACTTGGGTAGCCAGCTGTTTACTGTCTGATTACAATACTACGCATGCTTTTGGAATATGTTTTTGGAGACATTAATGTTACTTACCTGTACTCAAAAGTTATTAAAAAGACTAAAATGCTATGTCTATCTATTAGTTAATTGATGGGTAATATGACTTTTAAAGCTAATGCTTTTAATTATGCTGGGGACCTTATTAGGTAGCAGTGATGGGGAAGCCTGACAGGTTGGCTAGGAATGGGAACTCATCCTGAGAAAATTTATAGGTAGCTCTGGATTGCAAAATTGGCTGGATTGGAGCTTGAAGGCAATTTGGACAGGTACTTGCAGGAGTGGTGAGTGAGTAAAATCTAAGAAAAAGCCAGACTTCCTACCCTGCATGCTTGCAGCCTTGTTTTCCTCCACTTAAGCGTGACCGTGACTATAGCAAATAGTCCTGACTATGCTTGGAACTGAGGCTGTAAATCCATGTGGTTATAGAGAGATTTGTGCTAGTAGATGACTAGTTTTGAAGTGTAAGGAATAGTACTGTGGTTTTGAGGACCGTCTGATTTAACTGACAATGTGCTGAAAGTGTTAAGATGGTTTCAGTTAGTGGTTCTCTAGATTATGCTGCATTAGTAAGATTTGATTGAACAGGCTTTTAAAACTTAATTTCTGAGCATGGAGACAGGAGCAACAAATGTGAACAGCTGCATGCACATAGGGCACTACCTAGTGGAAATCCATTAATTTTGGCATTTTGCTTTGAGTACACCAATAAATCTTTTTGCCACTTCCTAGGACCAGTAGCTTTGCTCTTGGCAATACTCCTCTTCAGTATTGTCATATGAATATTGGCTTTAATGTTTTCTTTCTCCAGTTATTTCTGTTTTGTTTGAGCAAAACAATTGCACGATGAACTTGTAAATGGCTGCATAGTTTATCTGTACTTATTTAAAGGTACAGCATCTATCCTACATATTTTATCTACATCTTTTCCAATTTTGAGTTGTCTGTTTAGGATAGAAACTGTAAAGCTTCTGAATAGGAATATATGAAAAGAACTGCCTAGGGATACTTGTGTCTGCCTCTTCTGAACAGCACTATGGGATTTAAAAAAAAAAAAAAAAAAAAAAACCAAAACACAACCCACTTTTACTTGTAAGCTATAAGGCAGGAGAAATAAGAGTAGGGTTTTTTGTTTTGCTGGTAGCAAAAATATTATCTAAACCATAGTATTTCAGAGAAGGGTAACATACCCCTCATAAAAAGGTTAGGCATTTGTATTTAAATATTATCTAGGGCTTATTCTGTCTGCTCTATGATACTTGATAGCACAAGTTGGATGGCTTAAAGGTAAGTATTGAAAACACTTACAGGACCTGTGTGTATATGACTAGATTCTCCATTGCAGCGCGTCTGTGTAAGGCTGAATACAGAGATGGGTAGAGGAGTATTCTTTTGACTGAAGTCCAACACCAGAAGCCCAAATTACATGCAACTTTCATTTTTCCTCTGCCTGCAGTATTTATAGAGAGCTTTTAGTTGAACCAGAATGACTTTATTACAAAGTGTTGAGTCTACTTAGAGAGGTTCTTCTTACCATTGCTTATTAGTGAAAGGAAGATCTGCTATAGTACTTCTCTCATATGACCTGAAAATAGTACTAATAATAATATGATAAATCATATACTAAGTGTCATCAAGTGTATTCTACATATTTCTGAACATATTTAAGGTCATTTGGAAGGCGTGAAGGAAGTGGAAAATAATATGGTTTGAGATGGAGACTTCACATTTAATTTTACTTTGTATGTGAACTTTTATGTCTTAGTAGAGAACAACTCTGACATGTAAGGTTTTAAAAACAGTGTATAACCTGTACAATTTTTTTGGTATTGATAACTAGGAAAAAGTAATTGTAAAGATAATACTATTCTGAAGTGCTCTTGGAGTTCAGTGCTTCAGCTACCTGAGCATTTGCCTAAATGGTTTTGAAGAGCATGGTACTGATCTGTCTTTGGCACATCTAATCTTTAAATAGAAAAACTTGCAAAAAGCTTCTAGATGTGGTGAGTACAAAAGATTAAGAGGAAGGTGGTTTCTTCCTCATACTGCTAGTAAATCAAGAACTGCATAGAGGAAGTTGTGCCTGACTTCAACAGAATGCGGAAGGTTTTCTTTTGAGGTGTGCTGAGAGCAATGGTATTTGAGTTTGGGGTGAGGGTAATCAGCCTGTTCTAACCTACTCATGATAATTACATGCTGAAGTTTGGGGTTTTTTTCCTCAGTTCTTTTCCTCCTATTGTTTCTGAATGGATAAGGTAGCTTCTGCTGAATGTATAAAAATGAATAATGTAATTATTTCTGCCAGTTAAATCCACCTCCAAAACAGGAATCTCAGTATTTCCCAGTAATACTCTAATTTGCAATGATTACCCAGTTCATCAGTCTGAATGCTTGAAAATTGCATCTGAGAAATGAAAGGCAGTACAAGCTAAAATTGCTTCACATCTTACTTTTAAGAAGGTTCAAGTGTATTATGTGAAAATAGAATTTTAATTGACTAAACATCCAGATGAAGCATATGCATTTTGCAAGGTAATTTATAGCCATGTATTTATCTATTGCTGCAGCAACTCCATATTGTGTAGTTTCTTTTCGGGAACTCAAGCTAAAATGACTAATAATTAAGAGCATAATAATTGATATAGGGAATATATGCTTGTAAATGAGTGTTACAACATTATAGAAGACCTCACTTGATTTTACAATACACTTTTTGTATATTATGTTCTGATTTGCCATTAAAAAGCAGAAAATAAAAATACTGCATTTAGTACAGTACTATAGTGAGTGCTTAAATGTGTAAAAGTTAGCTGGGCAGCTGCTGAACAACCTGTTAGTTGCCCTTAGGTATAGAGTACTGGAAAAACATTCAGTAATTATATATAATAATCTGTTATTGGCCAGAATAATATTAGGAATGGTTGTGTCAGTCTCTGAGAATTTACTATTTCTGAGATATTAAGAAAAGTTGGGAGAAAAATCTTTCTTTCAGACGCAAATGGATGTGGAACTACATTTTTAGTGCTTTATATGACAGACATCTTTTCAAAACAGCCAAGAAAAACAGTGTTACTGTGGTTAAAACATTTGACTGGTGCTTAGAAATCTGGATTCACATTGTGTTTTTTGTCAAATTCTAGGGCTCAAGGCAAATATATAAAAGGAGGGTTTTTTGCTAAAGGTCAGTCTTAAAATAATTTTCAAACATTATTTTGACTACAAACCTGTGTTACCTTTATGTACTAAATTATTAAAATTCTGTTTTGTTGTTTTTTAAGGAGCAAAAAGTCACAACTTTTAACTTGTGAATATTATTTTTTAAATCTGTTTTGATCTTGGCTGTATTTTTTTGCCAGTCTATCAAGACTTGAATTAAAGTTTGTTGTGGCTAAGTAGATAAGTAGTGCTAACATATTCCGTAGGCATGTGAAATATAAAGAAAGATTTAAAGGAGGCATAACTTGTGCCTGAAACTGAATAAGTAACTTTTCTTATACTCTCCATTACTTATTATGTGGCAAACATCAGTTAGATTTTTTTTTTTGGTAGTCCAGAACTATCTAGAGTACACTTACATGTTGTTGCAAAATCAGGATGTATTCAGCTGTTCAAATCTGCTGTTTTATTTCAATTTCTTGGAAGGCACAAGAGGACTTTCTACCTGTGGAAAGCATGCTGTTGTTCTTGTTCAGTTTGTATCATAAGCAGAATCTGGAACAAGAAATGCAGAGTCTATTTAAGTTGCTGTGTGTATCATCTGGTGAACTAGTACAAACAGAGAGGGAATAGGAGAGCTGTTGCCTGTTCTCCGTGTCTGCATGTCATTACATATGCTACTTATGCTCCAATGTCACGTGAAACAATTGTAGAAATGCATCAGCATTGTCCACCCTCCTCTCCTTACACTCAAATCAAGGCTACCTCACTGCTTGCTGGGGCGAAGACACTGTGGGCTGAAAATAATATTAATTCAATGAGTCTTGTATAAAGGAAAATTAATATTAGATATAGTATGATCTTTGTATGTTAAGCATTCTGTGTTCAACTGCAGTTAAGTGGGATGAGCGTTTAAATTGATATTTTCAGTGAGACTAAAGAATGCCTGCATAACCTCTATTTGTCCTTTAATGCTTTGTATATATCCCCTCTGTTATAGCTTGCTGTAGACATATATATAAGAAGTACAATAAATTGTAACACTAAGGTTGGTTAGTGTAGATTTTGAATTTGGGTTGTACTGTAAGTCATGTTGAAAGGCTTAGTTGGCAGAAGTATAAAAATAAATGAGAAACCCTTTCCTTGACCATGTAGTTACATATTGTAAATCCTTGTTTTGTCGCTTGCCTTCGGTTTGTGCATTAAAGGTCAGGGAACATCATACCCTAACAGAAGCATATGGAACTGAAGACTTTTCTGTTAATTTTGTCAACAGTTTTTAAATGCAGAAAACTAAATTGTTTGATGCAAACATAAAATAAAGAAAGAAAAAGTTGTATATTTAGTATAATAAATACTTTATGTATTTTGAAGTTGCCCTGTTAATTGAATAAAACTTCATCTATGAATCCAAGTATAGTATTTGTTGTTCACAGTGTAGTTAATAGCATCAAAGGTGTATTAAATTATTTCCCTTTAAATTTGATTTTCAGAGTAGGTTTGCATACACAGTAACTAGGCAACTACGCTTTGGGGATTTTGACACCCATTTTTTTTTCCTAAATGGGAAATTTAAATGCTGATTTAGGGTAGCATGGCCATCAGTGAGTCTTACAATCTGTGATGAATTTTAAGTCATTTTAAAGTGACCCAAGAAAGAAAGAAAATGTCTTTTTCAACTATTGACTGGAGGAAAAAAGTGGGGCTTTTGAATATAAATGCTTAGTATGACTTCAGTTGGATGTATCTGCTGAAGATGCAGTTTCAGGAAATTGTGCTTTAACAAGTGAAAGGGTAGATCTCACTTTTAATTCCAGCTAATCACCAATCAAGAAATAAGCTAATGGTGAATTAACTTACTTGAGCAGACTCTGGTTTGTTTTTTTTTCCCTTCCCGCTGAAGTTTGGAAAGGGTGACCTTAAGTTCTGAATTGCTGTTTTATTACTTGAGGGGAATGTGTTTGGGTGTGCAAAGCTGACTGGAGATAGCCTTGGAGTAAGTCCTGTTTGGAAAGAACCAAATTTCTTTGTAGCTTGGGCCTGTGCTGCCTGTCTAGAAGGGGCTACACTGCTAGTTGTGCCTGTATTTTCATAAATCCCCAGGGCTGGCCCCAGAAGAGAATCTGTGAAGCAATATGTATAGTGTGAGCAAACAAGAGCCAAGGGTTGGAGTGGAAGAAAGGAGCAAACCAGAGGGATTGTGCATTGACACATACATGGCTTTATTTTAAATCCAAGATTATGGAAGTCTTCTGTTGAATCAGAGTTTAAGTGAGTAGGGATCAAGAGAGGTACTGGTATTAACCTTGTAACTAGCTAGTCTTTCCTGAGCATCTTTTTCTGTATATCACAAAATAATCGCAGATCCTTTGAGAATTTTTCAGTTTGAGTAACAATGAGAGAAAAGTGTGAGTTGTTGCTCATCAGTATTAATGGGGGTCTCAGTTTGGGTCTTACACATTTGGCTGTGTGGAGGTGCAGTTGTTTGAGAGGCACAGCATTAGGGTTCTTACTGTTAGCAGTCTGGATGGACATGTTTGTAGGCTTGTATAAGGTAAGGTCTTCTGTTGATCTTAAGCTAATATTCCTAATGTTAAGCATTTGAATGTACTTTTCACTCCAAATCTGGCATATAAAATACCTTTTAAACCATCTGTGTTTTATACTAAATGTATTTCTGCAAACTTTGTAGCATAAATGCAGTTCACGATACAGTGAAGACTTTGTGCTACAGCTGGAAAAAGAGCTGGTGCAAGCCAGGCTGAGTGAAGCAGAATCCCATTGTGCCCTGAAGGAGATGCAAGATAAAGTTCTAGAGATGGAAAAGGTAAATCCAACCAGGACCCTTTGTGTAAAATAGCACTAAATGCAAAATACAGGTCCCTGTAATTCGCTGCATAACTGTGCTCTAGAATCTTCTAGAAGAGAAGTTTTCATGATTGCAAGATGCTTTTCAAATGTGAAGTTACTATAGCAAAAAACTCTAAGATCTGCTTGCACTGGCAAAGGTTTGTGAAGAACAGATCACTTCTCTTCTGTTCCTGAAGCCCACTGCAGTGGAAGACTTGGATTCTGGTAGAGTTTTTACAGTAATCATCAATTGTTTCAAAATTACGTCCTGCAAAAAGAGCACAGTAGGCTTAGGATAAGCATTGAGGTGATGCTAAACTAAATAGTTTGGGAGGGGAGAAGGAAAGAGTTTAACATTACCATTCCCAGGTCTTGAGTTCTTGAGTGTCTCCCACTTTGTCTCATTATGGGCAGGGAAAGAATACCTCCACTGTTCATTATCAGAATCTCTCCTGCTTTTTGGGTGCCATCCCAGCTTGTAACTGCAGATGCCAGAGTTTAAGCTGTACTCAAACCAACTGTTAAATGTTTACCTTTCTTTGAAGAAAACCTTAACTGCAAAATAAGATGGAAAAAAAGGAAAAAAAAAAAAGCCCACTAATTGACCTAACATAAAGCATACTTGTAAGATCCTGTTGTATTGGCTTTGGAAATGATTTCCTCATGGAAATTTTAGAGAGCTGTGTAGTCAGTAATGTAGCCAGAACTTACTAGCTAATTAGATTAACCCACTGGAATCAAGATTTCACTTTTTTAATTATCTGAGGGGCTTGATGGGAGTCTGTCACGCTCGTAGTGTGATTAGTTTTTACTGTACTGAACACTGGGAAGAATTCAGGATCTAAGCTATTTGAAGTTCAAAAACAGACTACTTCTTTACTTAACCTTCACCAGCATGAAGACAGCATACGCTGAAAACTTCAATGTGAAGAAAAACTGGAGCAGTGGGGGAAATTCCAGTGTTCCAGACAAACTGAGATGTACAGTACTATTTTAGTCTGTCATAATGAACTTAGACACATGAGGAAGTGACTGAAGGTAATTCCATCAAATTCCTGCAAATAAAGTTCTTGATTTCTCTTAGTGATGTGTCATGTGACCTGGGAAACTGCTCAATAACTAAAGACTTCCATGGCTATCTTGACAGTGATACAAACATTCAGAAACACAACCTATCACTTCCTATGTTTGCCAAGACTTGGGTCCCATGATTTTGAAACATGGCGATGCTAATAAATGGCTGTTGTACTGTGTTCTGCTAATGTTAATAATGTAGTTTTACTCTCAGCTCTCAAGAAAACCTGGCAATTGTCACAGTATTACTTATCTTAAAAAATATTTGATTTTGCTGAAAATTACTATTGAGAAATACAGTAGAAAATGATTAAGCACAGTTCAACTTTGAGTACTTGGTGATGAATGATTTGGTGTAGGCATATTGTAGTTAGGCAGACTATGTCCTTTTTCTTCCCCTGTTTTTTTTCCCTAGATGTCCCTTGTTATGCTTTCATTACTGTTTTACTTTCTCCCAGGTCACTCCTGCTTTGTGTTTTCTTGTTTTCTGTTTAGCTTTCTGCAGTCTTTCTACTTTTTCCTCCTGTCTTTTGTAAACATCCATGCACTTTCATCTGTAAGAGCTTTTCTTGACTGGTTGTTGTTTATAAATGTTAATGGATGGTTCCTTTGTCAACATATCTTTTCTCCTTTTCAGAGGCAGATGACCTACCTACTTCATAAAAACTAAATTTCCATTTATTTTTTTTCCTGTAGGGCTAAATAAAATTGAACTCTTAAAAGTGTAATTTCAGTTCCTCATTTGCTTTACTTTTATCAGCTAGCTCAAAATCTTTCAGATTGCTTTCTGTATTTTTGATGATGTGTGCAAAATAGTGTAACTAATGCTTTGGTAGGGATACCATCTGGGGAAATCTGGAAGTCAGAATGCCTAAAACTACCTTGTCAAATTTTTTCTGTATTTGGCAGTTGGAAGATACTTAGGCACACGTTCTATATTAGATTTTTGAGGGGAATTTATTTTGCAAGGGATGTGTGATTAAGAAAATTTTATTACTAATAAGAGTTACCATTCCATTCTGTATTCTTCGAGTGGGTCTCACAAAGCACAATTTTATTCAAATACATTTTTAAGAGGACGGTCCTTGTTGCAGAGGAACAGCTCTCTCCCTGATGAGGAAAATGTTGCTAGACTACAAGAAGAACTGATTGCAGTAAAATTAAGAGAAGCAGAAGCTCTGATGGGTCTCAAAGAACTAAGGGAGCAAGTCAAAGATTTGGAGGAACACTGGCAGGTATGGGTAGTAATACACTTCTAACCATTTTTATTTTCAGTGAATGATGATAAAACAAAAGACTATGAAACTTTGAGATGTAGAGATCTCATAGAAACTAGTGATTGTGGAACAAGCCACTGAGGTGAGAAAATCTTTAAATATAGCTGCCACAAGAAACTTTACTTGAAAAGTATGGTAGGAATTGGTCCCTAGTTGTTATAGATGGCAGAGAGCCTGTGCTACCAGCTAACCATTCTGGTAGAAAGGAAGTACCTGATCCTGCTTCACTGAATGTTAATAAGGGCTAGAAATAAGCAAATTCTCAGGACATACTTGTAATTCACTGACTTACTATGGTTGGGAAGGACTGTCTCCAGTTTTTTAACTGTCTGCTCTTAAAATGAATAAGTTTCCATGGGTTTCTAGTTTTTAGGACAGAAGCACTGTAGCAACCTGTCCCTATATAGCTCTGAGACCTTAAGTGAAATAAGGGAACACCAGGAAAGAGCAGGCATTACCAGCAATGGCATGCTATTTTTTTAGCGTCATCTGGCTCGTACCACTGGAAGATGGAAAGATCCTCCCAGAAAAAACACAGTGAATGAGCTACAGGATGAGCTGATGACAGTCAGATTGAGAGAAGCAGAAACTCAGGCTGAACTGAAGGAGACCAAACAAAGAATGATGGAGATGGAAACACAGGTATGTTACTGAACACTAGCATGTGTGAATTGAGATGAATGCTGGCAAATGGGTGTCAAATGGTAGATATCCGATGATGGTCTTTATCATCTACAGGCTGGAATTCAGTTCCAAAATGTGCTTTAATGCTGTGAGACTAGGAGGGAAACTCTAGTGCATACAGTCAAACTTACTTCGATGTCTTTTCTCTAGTCTTTTCCAGAACTAAGCCTTCTGACTTCTCATTGGACTAATCGGTAGACTCTGTGAATGTGTGTGAATCTTCATTAAATTGTAACTGGTGTAACAACAAAAGAACATTTAAGTTGTTTTAAATTTCACAAACCTAGTTGATGATTCTGATAATAGTAATTCTAATTCTTTAAATGGCAGTGTTTTCTTTCTTCTGGTGAAATTGCCTATACTAGATTGTCCACTGAGGTCATGGATCTGGTTACTGAACAGTGGACTCTCAGCAGAACAGCTGCATGTTGTCAGGTTTTTTAGCAGAAGCTTTACCTTTTATGTGCCAGAAAAGAAAAGCATGATTCACCATTGCTGAGATTTGTGCAGAAAAGACAAAAATAACTTGTTTGCCAAGATCTTTTTTGTGTTATCAGGGAATAAGTTGTCATTAAGCAAACAAATCTGACATGAAAGTGCACTGAAGTTGTTGGGTTCATATTATATTAGTAAACTTTCAACTGAATCAGTAAGCACAATGTGCTGTTGATTGAGAAGGATTTCTAACAGGCTTTTAAGAAATCTTCCCGTGAAATCCCTGCTAAATGTAACTGCTACTTGAAGGAGACCTGTGCATCCAAAAGACTAAAAAAAACCAAACAAAAACTTTACTTGACAAGCTTCAGCAATCCCAGAAGCCAGGAGAGCGTGTAAGGATGTGCTACTAAAGAGAAATGAGCTAACTGCAAGGCACATGGTGGCTTATTTCTGACAGAGGCACAACTTTATACCAACTGAATAAAAGTTTCCTCTTGTCTTAACTTTTAAAGTTTTCATTGAAGTGCTAATACTGTTCCACTACAATTAATGTGTGCTTTTTTGTTGCTTTTTTCCCGTCTATGTGTTTTAGTCAGTAGAGGGCATAGGTATCCTGCTGTCTGGATTACACATATTAAAGTCATAAGACATTTTAGGTACTTCTCACTTCAGTGTTATGCATTGAGTCTTTGTATGTGCTTATGCTGTTTAGCTGTCATTTGACAGAAATGCATTGGTTCTCGTGGTATGTGCCTGTCTATGCATAGCTTCATATAAAAAAGGTGTGATTTGTATTAATGCACTGATCTTAATTAAGGTGCCACGTTACTTTCAGGAATTCACTGGACAGAGACATGCACATATTCTGACATACCTGATGTTTCTTGGATGCGTCAGCTTGTTGCTGTAGTTGGGATGCAAGTTCACAAGATCTTTGCATGACCTAAGCAAGAGATGGGAAAAAACAGATGTACAGGAGCTTTGCCATAATGTTCTTTAACTCATCATGAGTCATCTGTTCTTTAAGAACAGTTTGAATAACCTGGTCATAAACCAAATGTCATGCCAACTTTTCTGATTACACTTAGAAAATTCTGAATGCTTTTTTATCAAAGGTTTTTTATAGTAAATGATCTACAAGTCTTTCTTGTCAGACTTTGGGGGGTTAAATTGGTATCAAAGATCTTTCTTTAACATGCATTTTATTTCTTTTTTTTTGGTCGTAAATTTCAGAATCAGATCAATAGTAACCATTTACGAAGGGCAGAGCAAGAGATTACCAACCTACAGGGGAAGGTACAGTATCTTTCTGCACAGAACAAAGGACTTCTTGCTCAGTTGAATGAGGCAAAACGTAGGCAAGCAGAGATTGAATGCAAGGTAAACAACATAATGAATAGACTATTTGTGTTCTAATGTATATGTACTTTTTAGTCTTGTCCTCTGTTGCTGGGTTGAATTGTGTCTTAAATGAGAAGTAGAAATCACAAAATGAAAACTTTCTTTTACTGATTTGACAATATAATACTGAATTTGCCATCTCACAAAAATCACATGAGGTTTTGACAGAGCTGCTGCTTTGTGGTCCCACAAAGACAAACTTACTTTCAAGTGTGGTTCTACTCAGAAAATTGTCTTTGTATAACATATACAAAGGTGCTCTTACACAACAGATTCTGATCACTGTGATTGTCTTTAGTGCAGAAGAGGTTTGTTACTTCAACACTGGCTATTACTGCAGAATTAGTTTAGGTTCCAAAAAAGGGAGTAAAAGTAGTATTTGAATGGGGTGGCCTACAGAAGGGAGAGTTACAGTAGTCAGTGCCTAGTAGTAACCAAACTTAAGGGGACAACCAAAAATGTTGGGTGAAAGAGTAATTTTTATTACTGTTAATGCACAAAAGAGAGCCCAATCTGATGTTTGAATCTCAGATTGAATTAGTTATTTTTGTAACCATTTCCATAACCATTTACTAATTACTTATCTTTTTAACTTGTGCATGTAGTATGCACAAGAAATACAGGGTAAGTCATACAAGCTTTTTCCTCTTAACTTGGGTGAGAATTTTCCTGAAATTGTGCCTGATAATTACTTCAAAAAAGGACAGTATTAGTTGACGAATCACTATAGTTAAGATATTACTTGCTAAAGAAATGAAAACAACTTTTTACTTAAATTGTATTTCCAAAAGATGTATGAATAGTCTTTTATGAAATAAGCTAGTGCTGAGCAGTCAGTAATTTCTAAACAGGATACTTATTAGTATGTTAAAAATAATACTGTAGTATGAGATGGATAATTAGAATACTGTTTAATAAACTCTGTGAACTGGCAACTTGAGAGCAGATGCTATTATATAATTTGTTGTTCATGATCACATCTTAATTTTGCCTTTAATCAAACCTTTTTCATGTGTGTACTACTTGTTTCTATTCTCATTCATGCTGGACACTTATTGGTTGAGTGTTTGTTTTTCAGTTTTATCCAATATACGTACATTTTGCTTGTTGATACCATGAATACCCCAAAGACTGCATTAGCTGCAATTCCATCAAAGGCTTCTGGGAACAGTATGAATAGAGAGTGTAGTTTGACTGGTTTATCACTGAAACTTAGCCTGGAGATTAAATTACATCCTTTTTAATATGCATAGTTTTGCTATGATATCACACTTCTCAAGTTTTACAGATTTTCATTTCTTGTAACTTATTTTCTCGAGGATAATGCATAAATCTAGGCAATTTAGTTGTGTAGCAATCTCTGATCTTGTGTTCATTACTCAAAGCCATAGTGTGTAATTTGTAATTGGCAATTTCTTGCTAGTGTTTTGCTTTGGTTAGCTTCATTTTGCTGAAAGAACTATGATTTTTGTTGTTGTTCAGTTGTTTTAAAGAAAATTAAGAAAATAAATAACTGAGATGTACTCCAGGTATTTCAGGGTTGTTTTAGGTTTTCATTTCTCTTGTTGTCTTGCCAGTTCCATTTGTTTGCAATGGAACCTGAGTCTAAAGTGCGTTGAAGTTGTAACTTCTACCGACTCATCAAACTCCATCACAAGCTTTTAGGAAACAAGACAATTAGTCTTAACTAGATGAAATTACTTCTACTGACTGTTTTTTTTACCATAATCACTGGTTTCCTAAATGCTGGGGTTTTTTTAATGCTGAGATTATTATTGATTTTTAATATTCACAGTCTTGGTGACATGTCTTTTCATATAACCCATAACTTTTTTGTTTGATTGGTTTTTGATACTGAATGTCCTCATTAATCCTTAAGAGATTGAGAGGGTGTAGTCAATGTTCTGAAGTTTTTATGTTGACTATACAAAGAGTAATATGTCTTTAACCTGACTAATGAGTTAATATACTTGACTGTTCTCACTGAGATCATTTTCTTGGAAAGTTACGTTCTAATATGGGTTAGAGAAATGTGTGGTAGTAATAGAGCACTAGTTATATTTTTTAGAGATTCTCTGAAAGTAGCAGTGGTCAATAGCCAGTGAAGTAGCGGTACTGGCACACTAACTGAAACTTGTTTTGGACTGATAGGAAAAAGATTACAGTTTACATTGTAACATGTTTTCCAAGTGGACGTTTATGATATAAAATGAAGTATTACCAATGTGAAGCATATACATTAGCTGGCGTTCTGCTGTTTGACTGTGAGCTAGTCTGTGACTTCTTGGGATGAGGCTTAGTATAATACCATATAGACTCCTGTACGGTTTAAATGCACAAGGGGTTTTTTTTTGCTAACTGTATTGAAAGATGCTCAAATTTAACTTGTTGGAAACTGCCTTTCTTTAATGTAGGTTCCCCTCATATTCGCTTGTCCCTCTACCTCTGACATTTGTTGTGAACTGTCATTGTGACTTTAATAATTTATACAAACAATCCAGCAGTGTTTTACAGATTTAATAAGAATGCTGTGTCATCAAAAAAAAATGAGCCATGTTAAACAATATGCACAAGTTTAAGTGTTCTCCTGCTCCCTAAATGGGATATAACTTGGTATTGAGCTTCCTATTGTTGTTTCAAACTTAGGAAAAACTTCTCAATTTCAAACTCTATGATAACATGCAATTAAGTGACAAATAAGAGGATATAAAAAGCCGTTGTCCTTTGACATTTGATTTGTAGGGATTGTCATTCTGTTTTCTGTCCCTTGCTCTCCATGTTCAAACTACTAGAAGCATGACTTTTAGCTTAATCTAAGACTCATGCCAAATGCTTTAACTTTTTCTTATTATAGAAGAGACTGTTTTAGGTTACTGTCTCCCTGCCTCGATACCACAATAAATGAAGGAAATTGCTGCTTGGGACTGTTTAAGGTTATTTCACTGTGTGAGGAAAATTAGATTTTTATTTGAAATAAATAAAAGCCAAAGTTTAAAGTAGAAAGAGAAACATTGTTATGCTTGTAAAGCCAAAACCTTGCCATGTTAGTGTCTTTTTTTTGTGCTAAATGTTTTCAAAAGTTCTACCTTACATCTCCTTTAAATCTAGTGAGTTTGTTATTCCTGATTCCATTAGAAACTGATGTTTTGGGTTCTTTTTTTCCTGTTGTTTCAAATAATCTGAAATGATGCTCTAGTTTCATTTCTGTCACCACATCTTGGCTAGGTAGCAATATTTCTACTTGAAGAGGTGTACCAAAAAAGGGATTTGGATTTTCAACTCCCCAATTGTTTTTTCTATGCAGAGAGGATTATTCCATAATGCAGTACACTATTTCTGGAGCTTGTATTTTTCTTTAAAGGATAGCTTAAAATAAATAAGCAGAAATTAATTTTTTTGTAACAAGTTACATCTCGTTACACCTATATGGCAACTGTTTTCTGTCATTGGTGTGTACTATTATTTTTTCCCTTTTTATCTAACTACTGCTTCTACAGCAAGGACTTAAATTGTTTCTTGAAACACAGCATGTATCTTTCTAATCAGTTTTGCTAAAGAATTTACACCATAAGATTTGTGCCACCACCCCAGTCTTGTCTTTCCTACCATATCAACTTCTGTGGTAATTATTGAGAACATGCTCTGTTTCAGAGATAAACCATCAGTGCCATCTCAAGGAACACTATTGACTCATCTCAGATACCAGAGTCAAACCAAGCCAGCCTGTCCTTCAGCTTTCAGTTAAATACATGCAATCCTGTGGACTTGTGGGTTTGGCTTCTTTCGAGCAATAGTGCAGCAGGATTTAGCAATAATAGTTAAACTTTAGCTAGCACATGATGGATTCCTCTGAAATGGACTCCACTGATTAAATATGCTGTTAATTGGATCCTGTAGATGATGTACCTTCATTACAGGAGTCTTTTTTTTTTTTCTTTTTTTTTTTTTTTTTTGAAACAAACTGTGTTTTCAGTTAGCTACTACAGATCCGCTTTGGCATGTTCAATTCAGTCTCAGCCAAACTGTCTAATGAAATGTGGTTAAATACTGTCAGTTTGAAGCACACATGAAAATAACTGAAATACTGGAATTGATCTACAGTTAACTACAGTTTGCAGAGTTACACCAGTCTGCCATAAAAATAGGTGCACCTGAGCCTAGTCTGTCTCTTCCCCGGAATTATTTGCATTCCAGCTTGAAGTATTGCTCACTCAATATGTGTTGCTGTTTTCTCTCTGTCGTTGTACCAAACTGCTAACAATATAATATTTTGTGCTCTGAAGTCTTGAGGACTTGCCTCATAAAACGGAAACAAGGAAATCTTTCTCTCTTGTCCAAACTAAAGTTATCTATAATTTATAGGTGAATTTACAGGTTAAACTTATACCATGAGTCTGATTGTAGGTTACAGGCAGTAGAATTATATTCTAAACTGTCTTGCAAATCTTTGTTGCAGACTGTGACTAAGATGGCTGGACTTAAATGTGATTGAGAATATTTGTGCTTTTTTGGTTTTTTAATTTCTTCTTTATTTTTTTAGACAAAGAATGATGAAATAAGTACTTTCTGTGTAGTTTTGCTGTTTCTGTATATATAAGGTCAAAAGTTGAAGCATAAGCTGTTTTTTTTATGTTGATACTTTTTCTGAAGTTACGTTGTAACATTTCTGGAACACAAGACAGCTGTTTCCTGGACCTGGAAATTGGTAACATCATGTTTCCAAACTACACAGATTTTGGGTTGGGTTTTTTAATTATTTTTTATTATTATAGTTTAGAATTTATATTAGATAATTACACAGTTCTATGGTTTAAAATTAAATTTGCATTCTTTAGAATATGCCTTATCAACAGGTGTGATATTTCACACAGCAGTGTGTTAAGTTTTCTTTCCTTACTTGATTTTAGGTAAAAGCAGTGCAGTCTTTAATCAACTGAAACTGATATTGTTAGCTTCAATCTATTCCTTCTTTCAGAGTAAAGAAGAAGTGATGGCAGTACGGCTCCGTGAGGCAGACCGCATCGCAGCTGTGGCTGAACTCCAACAGCATATTGCTGAATTAGAAATCCAGGTAACAAGTGATGGCATTAAATGTGTAACTTGATACTGATTTCTTTTTATACTTTGTGATTTTTTTTCTTCCTCCACTTTTCATATTAACCTACTGTGAATATAAGACAGTGCTTTGCAAAGTGGGATGCTATATTGCTGAATGTTCTTCCTTTATAAGCAAAGGTCTTAAATCTGTCTTATGGGCGTGCTTGTGAGCTGTTAATTGCCTTCTGTAAAAGCACCATGCTACAGGCAATGCTCTTTTAAACTCTGACTTCTGTATTTGGTTTTTGTCTTGTAATTGGTAATTTTTACTAATTAATAGATTGAAAACATCCTCTGACAAAAAAAAATCCGTGCATTTTGATTCCAGTAACCCTTCTTTTCTGTGATTAGTCTTCTGCAATGACCAATATTAGAGGATTTGTTTAAAACTCTTACTTGCTTTATGTAAATTGTGAAACCAGGAATGTTTACTGCTGCCATGTCACTGAAGGACCTGAAGATGCATCCTTTGGCCTCTGTGTTGCTCCTTATGCTTTCAGTTCCTTTTGGAGCTTTTACCGTCACATGAACTCACTGCTCCCTTGATGAGAGAACCAGAAGTGACTGTTCTCTATATTTTCTTGGCTTTGAGAAATCATGATGTCTTACTGTAGTCTGTTCTTCCTATACTTATATACTGTTGTCCTGTCTGAACTCTGTGTCCATCTGCAAAGGTTTTCTTGGTTATTACTAAGTTACAGACCAGTTACTCTCTAGTTTACTTTTTTTAAACTGGTATTGCTAGTGTCTTTCTTACCTCTGAAATCTTTCCTTCAAGGTGGTGATTTTACTGTATTGTGTCAAAGCCTTTTTTTCCCTATGATCTCTCAACTACTTGCATCTTTTTAATCTTTTCATATATAGAATGTACAAATAAATTTAATGGAGGTTGCACAAAGAATTTTCACTTTGGATATTTTTCCTCTAGTGCAGCAGGCATTAAATTTATTAAAAGATAAAGCAATCATTTATTTTAATTGCATAATGCTTAGATAATGCTGTAATCAGTACATTAGAAATACTTAGATAAGTACAGTAAGTATTGCATATGATTTATTTATTAAGATAACAAGAGAGTAGCTGAGTTTAGGTCAATTTTTACTCATATGTTAGCATTTTACTTAAAAAAAAGTTTAAAGGTTACTTCAAACAATGTGATTTTGTATTTGAGGAGGCAGTACTCCTTTTGTGTTATTTTTACTGTAGTATAGACTTTAAATGCCATTCTGCTTCCATTGTTTGGCTGATACACGTCTCCCAAAAAGTACTCTAGTCTTGATTTTATGAAATTAAGAAATAGTGAACCCTATAATGATCAGCAGGTTTTTTTGATAGCTGTCATGCAGTTAGAATTGTTAATTTTTTAATGTAAATACATCTGACTTGGTATTCTGTTGTTTGACTGATCAAGTGATCAGTGCTTAATAATTTTATAGCTTGCTCCTGTTTCCTTTCCCTCTTTCTGCTAAAGCTATGGGTGCCAGAATTGCATGCAGGTTTTCACAATACCTTGTCATGAGACATGTGAAGAAGTTAAGTGCAGGAGTGTAATCTATTTCATGACTCTGGTGAATACATCCAAAGGTTACACTGTCCCTGTTTTGTCATGATATTGCACTATATCATGTTCTGTTGTTTATCCACATCATCTCTCCTTCCTTTTCACAATTACTACTTTGCACAATGCAATCTTCAGTTATGTCTCTGTTTTTCTCATATTCTAGGTGCCCTTGGTTTTTTTTATTTTGTACTAAAGTGCTTTTCAGGTTCCATTCTTTTTGGTGTTCTCAGATGATCACCTGTTAATGATTTCTTGATTTGTAGTCTCTTAGTAAGATTCTTGATTTTTTGAACAAATGAGAATGGCTGTGCTTTCTCTGTATACAGTCTGGAGTATGAAGTCATTCTGTGGCTGTGGGTCATGTTTCTAATTTAATGAGTTTACCCTGTGAGGCTTTTGGTGTGAACTATTGATCCCAAACTTACAAAGTTTGTATAGTGGAGTATAAAGCCTGAAATAGAGCTTCTTCAGTTGTAAAATACAGATTTTTGAGTGTTAACTGTATAAAGACATTTAAAACAAAAGTGATTTAGTAGAAATAAGTTCCTCTAAAGTCAATGTACTTATTTTTGACACTCTAGATGTGACTTGAAATGCTTTTATTGGGCTGTGACAGATTTTTTTATGTGTAAGATTCTGTGAACAAGTAGATATTTTTGACCAGTATTTTGCCAGCAAATACAAAACTTAAAATCAAAACTTCCTTTTTGGGTACTCATGCTCAAAGGCCTCTGAAACACCTGCACCAAAAAAAGTAATAATGGAGTTGGAAAGTATTACCTCCCAAAGCCTGTAAACTGTAGAACATGCAACTGATAATAGAGCTTAAACAAAAGCTTCTTTTTAAGGAAACTTAAAATCTAGATAAGTTCTTCCTCACTGGGGAAAGAGCTGCCTTCTCTTCCATTCAGTTTGTCACTGGAATTGCTGTGACCTGATATGGGGAGCAGAGGGCCTTTTAATGTGGACTTGCTTTAATGAGTTGAAATGCAATATTTAATACCATAAATACATTTGGGCAGTCTTGGAGTGTAGGTGTCAGTCTCAAAGTAATTGTTCTTTTAACATGGAGCATCACAAATAAGTCTGTCATATTGTTTCAAAGCTGATAAAGATGAACAGCGGAAGTGAACTTACCGCGTAACCTTCCTTCTTTTGAGGGGGATGGTGCTTTTCTAAGAAGGTCTAGGGATTCAGTGCCAGGTCCACATCATCCATAGCAATGCTTAATGTAAATTGTGCAGTTTTCTGTTAAATGTTGATGTAGGTGTAGGTGCCAGACACTGCTGTTAAATTTGTAATGCAGAGTTAGCACTGCTCCCACATAAGAACTGATCTGACATTACACACACAAATACTAGATTTAAATCACAGTTTCTGGGTCACTCTCAGTTTTGGTTAGTAATAATGACAGAGAGGGAGAAGGAGATGGAACTCTATCATTTAATAGTAGATGTAATTCTACAGCAAAATGCCAGTTTATGATGATGTTAGGAAGTTCTTTTTTATATATTTTGAATGTCATCTTATCTTGGTCAGGCGTTCAGTTCTTGATGCGAAGCTTTTAAATTTTTGTGTAAGCATGTTGAAGTGCAAGAAATAGTCGGTACATTATGGATGTTCGTAAACAAAAGAAATGTATTAGTCTTTCCTTAGCAAAAATAACACAAAATTGAAGTGTAACTGAAGATTAACTTATGTTGCCTATGCATCAGAAGTGACAAAGAAAAACCCTGAAGTTACGTATAAACAAAGGTTTACTTTGTCAGCCTTTGTTTTCTCCTCTATCCTCTCTTTATTTTTCTCTCACTTGCCAGTTCAGCTTGTAACCCTTGGGAAGCAAACGTGATTTGGAAGTGTTTAGCAGGCTTCCGGGCTTTGAACAAGACATTTGAGGAAATTACTAACAAGCAAAGAATAAATTTTTGGATGGCTAGGCTGCTACTTTTGTACCTCCACACTGGGGAGAAGCTGTTCTCTTTAATAGGATACATTCTACTTTCTCACAAAGGTTAGAGGGTCACAACCTATAACTAAATGACTTGTTTTGGCCAAGCTACATGCACTCTCTGATCCCTTTTGTCCCGTCCTCTTGTAAGATGTAGGGAGCCAGGGCTAAGGAATACAGATAGTCTCCCTCTATGTCTATAGTCAATCAGCAAAACCTCAGGTTAGTTTCCTCAGGGAATTTGTCTTTCTTGTTTTCAGCTAAACTGGTCTGATAGCTTCAAACTGCAACAAGCAAATGCTTTTAACTTCTTAATATCAGCCTTTAAAACCCTATTGCTTTTAGCTTGTGTGTGCTTTTCTGAAGCTGCCAAGAAGAGTCTACCAAGCTTCACTACGCTTTTGGCCTAATAGCAAGTGTTCCTTCTGATTGCATATGGGCAGTCCTGTTGGTCCCTTGATGTTGCTTTGTGGGTTTATTTTTTTTTTTCCCCTGCAATAGTTAAGAAGGACAGACTGCATAAAAGAAGAGGCCTTGGAGAAATTCAGGCAAGGTTAAATCAGTTACAAGTTGGAGTCAATCAGCTGGCTAGGGTAAGGAGCACTAGGCCAATGAAAGTGTAGGCAGACTGAGAAAGCAGAGCTGGGGCAGCTGCAGTTTCTGCTCTGCAGCTTAATCCCTTTCCCTCCATTTCTATTCAGGTTGGTGACTTGTAGCATCCTCTTAGAATTATGCATGGCTGGTTTGGGTTGAGGTGTTAGAGAGCACACTCATAATACAGGAAACTGATTTTAGGTCTGAATAACCTTAAAGCAAAAACTGTCTATAAGAATTCATTCTTGTCTTTGTTAGGTTGATCTGGACAGGGGGTAACATTGCTTTCTCCTGATGTGTTTCCTGGCAGATTCAGAGAATTTTGTCGCATTTACCCTATCTCTAACCATGTCAAAACTGCTTTGAGAACAACTGTAAAGGAAATACATGATTGTGCTAGTTCTCTCCCCCACAGTTTAAACTTCTAGCACTGTTTCATTAGAATGAAGCCTTTCTATGACCTCTGTTTAGTAACTTTTCCAAGTACTGACTGTTGAGTAAAGAAATTGTTTCCATCTTTTCAAATTACAGGAAACTTTTTTTACTCTTATCAATAGTGGTGTGTGATGTTAGTGATGTGTTTTTTGAAAGTCTAGAATGAGTCACTGTAAAGTCACTGAAAGGACACTAGTTACCACATTTACCCTTCTGAATAAACTTCATTTACATTTTTAATGTAGTGTCTTTTGCCACAGAGTAAGAATTTAAAAGCTTCCCCTGAAAAGAAGCTTAGGCAGATTGTTACCAAGTAAATATTTCTAAGTTGGAAAAGATCAAAATATGGGTGTTAGGGAAATGTCCTACTGTCTAGACATTTTTAGTAAGGATGATACACTGTTATCTGAGGAACAGCAACTATCTGGCTGCCTAGAAAACCATTTGTTTTGTTTTTCTGTTTTCAAGTTTGCAGTTATTAAAGTGAAAACAACCTTAGACATTTTCTTATTATTCAAAATGGCTTATTTTCTTGTTGATGTAGACTTCTTTTCCTATTCTGATGTGATCATCAGGAGTGTTTTAGGAAACTTTGTGCTTCTGTTCCTCTTGGGGTGAAACACCTGCAACTGAAATTTGATTACATTCATCTTCTTATATTTAGACCTTGGTCAAGCAGTGAAAGTAGACTTAAGGTCTCCACTGTGTTCCAGGTGTATAGTACCTCCCAAAAATCAAGTATAATAGTCATGATAAAACAAATAACAAATCAGTCAATCACGGGAAAACACCTGGCCCTGAATTGGTCAGACAGTTGGACTAGATGATTGTTGTAGGTCCCTTCCAACTGAAGTAGTCTATTCCATTATGAGGAAGCTGGACCTGTTTGCAGCCAGAGCATGTGAAAATGTAATTTAATGGAAACAGAAACCCTTAGATTTTAGGTATTTTTAAAAAATTGAAAGCTGAAGCCAGATTCAGAAATAGAAGGGCCTTGAGCAGGGCAGCCAGCTCCCTTTTTTCCCAGGTGGTTTTACGGAAGACATGTTTTATGTCCTTTGCCCTTGAGCACCCTTACTATTTATACGAGTTGAGATTAATTTGTTTTAGCTGTGCAAGACTTGCCAAATCAGTCCATCCTAACAGCATGTGTTTTCCAGCATATCTGCATGGCTTGACACTTGAAGCAAGAAGCTAGCAATACTAATAATATTAGGATTGACAATTAAGAAGGATATGAAGAATGTTCTGAATGTGGGCTCTGACCTCCCTGGCTGCTGGGATTGGACCATGGAGCGTGCAGACTTCTGTCCTTTTGAGCAAGTAGCCCTCTGTTCCCCAACTCAAATTACCCTTTAATCTCAGTAGTTGAGCTTTCTTCTACCATAGCTGGTTCTTACACTGAGGTAGCTGAGGCCAGACAAGACTTAATCCATACAAGACTGATTTCTTCCTGCCTGAGCCTGGAAACCTTTTCAACGTATACTGTTGGACCCTTAGGAGGATACATAAATTAATCTGTTATTTAGAGCTTTATGATACCTGGAAGCAAAGTGAAGGATGGCAGCAGTAGAACAGGGAGAGTGGAAAACATGCATCTCCAGAGAAGCAAATGAATGATAGAGGGCTAGTAGTTATTCCTGGAAGATTATTATCTTCAGTTGCCCTGAAGTACATCAACTAACTAAATGCAACAGCCATTTCCTGCAGATAGTGGGCTGAAGATGAAATCTGCAAGAATCCATCAGTGCTATTGTCTAAGGTCCTTACCTTTACTTTCAGTTCCATTCAGTACCTCCTATATCTTCACTTCTCAGTTTCCGTCCTACTTTCATGTCACTTGCAACCTAGCTAATTCCCTGTCCCTCTATTTCTTAACCAAGTTTAATTCAGATTCTGCACTAAGAACAAATGGTAACTGTGGTATCAATCTCAGTTGCTTCATGACTAGATCAGTCTCAAGAGTTAGAAATTATGTCTATATAATATGATATTATATTTGAAGCAGAAGAAATCCAAGCTGAAGCTGCTCAAGCTTTCTTAATTGAGCTACTAAATGAAACATGAACTTAAAATTCTTTGTGCAGTTTCCATGGGTGTTAACAAACATTTGGAGTATGAGTATGCTTGCTGTCTCTGGGTCTTTTACCAATCACAGTGGCATATAGGAGTGGTTTGGCACTAATCCAGTGTCATCTAGAATTATGATTGTAAAAGTCGGAATCTAACCTGCATGGGGGCAGAATATAGGGTTTGTTCTGCAGTGGTGGAGGTTTTCACTATCAAGATGCACACACACTGACAATACTGCTTAAAAGAGACTCAAGGATTATATTAAGATCACTTGATAAAAATAGTAAGAAATAGGTTTTTATGATAATCAGGAAGTAACAGATAATGTGTTATAATCTAGAGTATGTTGAGAAGCAAATCTAAAATTACAGCATTATTGGGAAAAAGTGGTCTGTTTTTGTGATGGATACCAACAGATAGTAGAGAAAGCTGTTAATGTTGCTTTCTGTCATGTTGAAAGGAACTGCCATGTTGAAGTTCTTCCTGCCAACAATTTTTCTTTTTGACTTCTGTCAAGCTGCCCTAATGAAAAACTCGTGTTAAAGAATGTAATTACCAAATTTAAGTTGCGCACATTAAAATTTGCCTTTGATTAACAAATGCTCGTCAGAAGCTGGAAATTTCTAGAAAGTAATCTGAACTTAATACAAATATGAAATGTGATTGGAAAGTTGAAACAAAAGTAATATTTTGTACTTATATGAAAATAAATATATGTATTGGTGAGAAATATCAGTCTCTTACAGTTTTAAAGAATGTTGGGTAATTTAAAGATCATAATCTGACAGATAAAACTACTTTTTATAAAAAAATTTTTTTGGCTCATTTGAAATATGTAAACTTTTAGCTGTCTACTTACTCTTTGTTCTCTAAAATAGAAGACTTTGGGAAGAATTAAAAATATTTTAATACTATAATGTCCAACCCCTGCATGTTTTCCAGTGGTTTGCTATTGCACGTGCATAAAGTGTCTTTTAAAAAACTAAATTGATGGCATGATCAACTTAGCTTATTTAAATTAAAAAAAAGTAGAAGATATCTTTGGTGCTCAGAGATGTGAACAGCAGCTGTGAGGAAGACTGATACTTGTTCTAAAGTTTCTCCTATGTCCTCCTTCCAATTAACCCACTGTAGACAGACTTTGTAGCTTATAGAACATGGGCTTATTTAGCTAGAAATATCTGTTGCAGACAGTTAAAAGGATCAGCTTCTGACCTCTAGTGTTTTGAATGTTGCAAGAGGAAGTTACAGCATGACTATTCTTTGAAAAGGATGTTTGTAGAAAATGACATTGCAGGGTTCCTTTTTTTGTGCTAAATGCATTTTTGTGAATTGTCAGCTCCACAAAAATCTGTAGATCTGAAAGGAAAACTGAAACTTAATTGTCCTTTGCTAATAATGAGGATCTTGCAAGCCAGGCTTATGCCCTACATTCAGCTGCATCTGATTGGAGCTAGAGTCAGTTCTTCTATGAGGAAATATACATGTCAAATTGTTCTGTGATATCTGCATTAACTTTACAGTGTTATTTATGGAATAAAAAGTAAAGATAAAACCATTTAAATATAATGAAAGTGTGTAATTGCTAATATGGTGTACCCTAGATGGTATACACTAACAGCTTTCAGCTATTTGGGCAGTGCCAAACTTAAGTTAGTAAATGCTTTTGCTGTTAGTTTATGCTAACTTAACTTGGGAATACCTGTTTCATGTCCTGTACCCCATTTGAATGTAAGCTCAGCTATTTATTCCACTTCCATTTTAAAAGGGCTGTGGCACCTATCTTCTATTTATGGTAAAACTCTTGCTTTGTTAATTCTTCACGCTCCTCCATAGAATTCAACCTGTACTATGGTTAGTATTGAGAGGGTCAGCTTGGTCTGAGCTACTGACACCCCTAGATACCTGCTGTAACTTCAACCAGATGAAAAGTGCTGAATGGTGCCTGTGAATAGCTTCTGTTCATGACAAAAATATGCAGACAGTTAAAATAAGTTTTTTTAATATAGTACATTTTTGACTAATTTGAATAAGATTTTTTTTAACCAAAACAGAAAGAAGAAGGAAAAATTCAAGGGCAGCTTAATAAATCTGATTCTAACCAGTACATCAGAGAACTGAAAGATCAGATAGCTGAGCTGCATCATGAGGTAAGTGATAAAATACTACTGTCTCTGATCACTTGCACCTTTTGTCCTATGTTTCATTTGTAGCAGGTTTGCTTATCTAATAGTTATTACAGCTTCAGTAACTGATTTTGCCAATGTACATTATTTTAAATTAAGGCAATAAAACTAACTCTACACACGAATCTTGCCCTTATCGTGGTATGTAAAAGAACAAAAAATTCCTTAGCTACATGATATGACATTAAATAAGATCAGCATTTATGTTCCATCTTGTTTTTTTTCTTAAATTTCATGAGTTGATCATATTTCACTATGTTGGGTTTACTGCATTTGGAGATGTGTGCATGAAAAATAGTCCCCTTTATGTCTTTATTTGATACAAATTTTAAGGCTAATTTAGTTCAAAACTAAACTGTATTTGTGCAAGTAGAAGAGCACATGTATAGATTTTTTTTTTTTTTGTTCTTGCTGTTGTGAGGATAAATTTTACATGGTGGTATACTGAGATTGCTTAAAAAGAAAAAGGATGCTTGCTTAATATCAGTTAACAGATTTTTAAGTTTTAAACTGCCAAAATCTTCAACCTATGAAATTTCTGTCTCTAAACTTCCTTGCTTTAATAGCTGTAGTAATTTTCTGTTAGTTAAAAAGATCAGAAACTGAAATGGCTTATGTAACTACTGTGCTCACTGGCTCATTTCAGTTCATCCTGCATTGTGAAGAAATGTCTTTACCTAATACTACACTGTGTGCAAAATGCCCAGTCATCTTTGCATTGTAGTCTACTTCTGTTTCCATACGCCTTCTAATATACAGCTGTGATCATGTTGGTGGCATCATAGAGCAAAACAACCTAATTATTTGTTTTTTGCGTTTGTTAAATAAACATATCCTTTCTTGATTTAAGCGCGGGTAGTGTTTTCATAAGTCTTAGTGGATTTGACCTTTTAGGACCAATCCCTTGAGAGTTATAACATAGCAGAGGATCTTGGAATGCTGTCTATGCTATGGATTGAGGATAGTCTCTAGGGCCATCAGTCCAGCACCTTTAGCAATCACTAAGCTCACTTAAAAATAAATGTAAAAATCAATAACCTGGCCCTTTCCATTAAAGGCCTATAACTAGCTTGCTTTGTTCCTTATGTGAAAGTTGCTTGTGTAATTGTCAGAAAGATATCTTGCCTATTTTGCATTATGAATAAATAAGGCACTGTACTGGCTTTGCTCAGTGTAAGTTTAAAAGGTAAGAAACCACTGCTTTGGAGGAAAAGTAGAATTACTGTTGGAAAGCTGTTGCATAATTTTCTCTCTGCAAGCATCTGTCATATGCCTGGCTGAGCAAGTAACTCAGTTGCCAAGAAGGCATACAACTGTGTATGTGTTTAATGGTATAAGTTAATGTGAACAGGTTGGAATGAAGATGAGGTTCATTAGCTCACAGAACAGTCATAATTCTGAGCAATACCAGTGATTCCTAAACATTTAAGTCTAGACAAATACTTCCATGTGATTGAAAGAAAATATCAGCTAGGGAGAATGTGAATTTCAACAACAGCAGAGTATGAGTAATTCCCTGTAGAAGAGCCCTCCTCTTCCAGATGTGTGCTTTGTCATGGATTAATTTTTAATTTCCAAATTAGGTAAACACTATAGGAACAAGGTATCTCATTCTAGGATACAGAGGAACAGTAGGAAGAAACTCTATGTAGTAGACATGTTTTACCTTGACAGCATTTCTGAATGCTTCCTTAAAGCTTTGAAGTCCTTGTTTACTAATGACTCTTCCCCCCCACCCCCCCACCCTCCCCCCTTACTCTTGCATATCTATTTGTGTAGTTTTTATGGAGGGAAAGTAATTGTTTATGCTCAAAATAAAGGATTGTGCATGACCCAATGGGCTGATTTTGAGATAATGTAAGGTTAAGTCTGAAATTTATGTAGTATTTATAGGTAAGTTGGTGCTAATAAATAATAATTAAGTCTTGGATTAAAATAGCTGCTAAGTAAAGAACTTCACTTGCAGTGTTTCCTGAAACAGCAAAATCTGATTAAAATGGCAATGGGAAGAGGCAAAAATGTTGCCCCTCAACTGCTAAATGTTAGGATTGGTATAATTTAGTCACTACTAATTAAATAACTTTTTAGGTCTGCACTGAAATGTCTTCATGTGCAGATCCATTAATGACCATGTTCTTTGCTTTTCGGCTAGCTGCTTTTTGATTCTACTTCTGCAAAAGCTAAAAGAAACGTTACAAATTTGCAAATTCATCTTCCTGAAGATACGGTGATGGTGTATGTGACATGCTGACCACAACCTCCCAACTGGTTAACATGTAAAAGGCACTGGCAAAGGAACAGAGATCTTGGTGACTGCATGGTTACCATCTAATATGTTGTAATTGTGCAACTTTAAACTGGACATAAATTAATGCAAAAGGTATAGATTAAAGTAGGGGTGGGATGGGTGTGTGTGAAACGAGTATATGTCTTGGCATGCCGTCAATGCTGATTCTGCTCATTGAACTTTTTTTTCTCTCGGTACTGCATTTTTACAGAAGTTTACATCAGAAGAATTGCAGGTTCTCCATCTGAAGGATGGAACAAAATAGTTAACAAATCCTATATTGAATATAAGTAACTGCAAACTAAGTCCATATTCTGGTCTTCTGAGAAACACTATTTCATGTCTTTGCCCAGCAATCTGAATGCAAATGGAACCTGAATGCAGTGGAACGTGGAGGAGCTAGATAGTTTAATTCCGTCGTGTGGTATAATCCATCAGATGGCGATGGTACTAAGATGTGACAACAGCATGTTCCATCCTAATTGCAAAGTTCCAGTGAAAGGTCTACTGTTCCATCAGTATTTACAAGCCAGGCTAGTAGCCAGGGCAAATCTGGAAGACCAATACAGAACACCAGAGAACAGTAGAGAGAGGGTTGCTATTACTGCCCAGGGTCTAAAGCTGAATTCTCCCCACCAAAATGGAGGAGGTGGGCATACTATGGCAAAGGTGCGACAGGATGCTGTTGTGACACCTCTTGACTTTGTAGTGGAGGAAAGTTTGACCCTCACATTTCAGGTATGTCTCTCACACATTCCAGGGTGGTAATCTAAGTCAGCTACGTATCACAACTCTGCGTATAATTTCAGATTATTAATTTTATTTTAAAAATTTTATTTGCACTTTTAGAAACTTCCAGCCGATTGCCCTTTGTAATCTGAGTCCATTGATTAACTTTGGTCTTCCTTTACTGAGCTCAAAATCTTGCATGCATGTTAAATATGGTGCAGCTTGCAGCCTAAAGGATAAATTTCAGCTGCTTCTATTACTCATGTAGGAATAGTAATGCTACAGTCAGTCTTCAAATCATATTATAAGATGACTTATTTGTAGTAAATTCAAGTTGTGTTTCTGTTACTGAGTAAAACTGCACACACTGGAAACTGTAGTATGGCTTCCAAAACTGAACCAATGAGGCACATTGCTATTAAATGTGGTAAATTAAATAGAAGAAGATTATCCCTTTTTTCTTACCTTTCAAATAAGGTAAAATAACTATAAATTGAATTACTATATTGGATTTTTGGTTTGTTTTAACAAGATGTCTGCCTGATTCTGTTTATACCTAACCAATGGATTTCTGTAGCATGGTAAGCTGAATTGTATATTGAGTACTTCACAGTAGATCTTGAACTTGTATTTGATGCACACTTCAGGAGAGCAAACAGACAAAATCTGGAGCTTTGAGAACAGTGTAACAAGACTTGTATTATAAACTTCTGCTCTATGCACACCATCTTATATCTACTCACATGCAGCTCTTTCTTTGCACTAACTTGAGTAACCAAATATGTGTTAGAAAACATTGAACATAATTTTATATTATGCTGCATTCATACCTAAATTACTCACTGCAGCTGTAACTTCAGAGTTCACATGTGTAGATCAATTATAATTAACTTGCAATTTTAACTTTATTGAATATGTCAGACTTTTTTTTTGTTAATTCCTTAGAAAGTTACTGACATCTATCCTTTAATCTTTTATACAACCTATCAACATTCAAAGAACAACTGGTGCATAATGAAAGGACACTCAGACTGCAGTGTTCCTAGTTAGCCAAAAGTAGTCCTGTGAGAAGTTGTGTATATTTAGTGTCAGATTAGTGCTGAACTTCCTTTCCTCCCTGTTGGCTGAGTTGCTTTATTGGGCACAAAGTTGTAAGATGCTTATTGTGCCTTATGGCTTTATTGTTGAAGGCTGAAACTAGTGTGAAAACCTGAAATTTTGAGGATTGTAACAAACAGGAAGTCATGATGTAAACTTCAGACAGCTTTTAATATACCCTAGACTTAGATACGATGCTTGCCTTTTTAGAAATTCATGTCCCATTGCCATTTTTTCTTTTTGTTAATTGAAATCTTTCCACCTATCATTTTCTTTCTTCATCCATCTTCCTTCTATTCTTAAAGCTATCTCTACAGCATTCTTGACTACTTCTAGTTTAGTAGGATTTTAACCTAAAATGCTTTTCTGTTGTGCAGCCCCAACAGGCTGCAGCTTCTGTGAAGCAACTGTTACTCTTGTCAGTAAGTACACAAGCTTTGTTGCCCCATATTTGGCACAATAAGGTCTGGTGGGCTCTATACTCTCTGTCACTTTGCCTTGCAGTTAATGTGCTTTAACTGATGTAACATAAATGGCATGAGTATACAGGCACTGCAAGATTTGTACCATGTGTTGCACACTCTCAGGCTGCACAAGGAGTGCTAGTAGTTCATAGAAGTTGCTTTTGATCAGACGCTGAAATGTTAAGTGAAAGCAACTTTTATGAAACATTTTTACTATTCAAGAGAGTATCCCACTTCAGTAGGTGGTACTGCAGTAAAGCAGTTACTGTATGTGGAAAAGACTATGTACAAAGTCTGGACTGTTAAAGAGTTTCCTTTCATTAAGTAGAGTTGAAGGTTTGAGAAAAACTGACTAAGATAAATCTTGAATCATTTCAACATAAATC